CGGTAATATTAGTGTCTGGGATTATCATTGGAATTCTTCTTTCCTATACATTGTCTCGTGCTTTTGACACGAGAACCAAGACAACTGAAGTTGATACAAGTTATCAAGAGCTTGATCTTTCAATAATGAACACAATAAACAATTATCAATTGCAAGTTATGACGAAAAGTTAACATATAGCTATATTGAGTTAAGCAGAGCCATGGAACAACTACCAATCTTTAACTTAAACCTACAATTTAATTTTATATATATAGACTAAAAATCGATGCCCGTGGCCAAACCATATGCTTTTGTTCTCTTGTGGTTTTTATTAGTGGCCGTAACTATATAGATTATTTTTTGAAACAACTTTAGATCTTATAGGGAGCTTATTGACTTTCAAAGTGCGCAGTGCGTCCGTTTCATCTTGAAAGATATTGGCTCACTGCTATATAGTTTGAAAAACATAGACTGAGAGTCTGTCAATTCATAGTCTGTCAATTCTATTTTGGGAGCTACAATCTTGGATCGGGTGATTGAACCAAAATTTGTTCAATTTATCCTTGGCCTATATCCATTTTGTTCACCGCAAGATATGCAAACACAAACTTGCACACGCAAACTTGCCGACACAAAGTCACAAACAAACCGAAGCCAAAACATACCTTCCTGCAGACGGAGGTAACAAAGTTTGAAAAGTAAACTATCAACTGAAGTTATCTGGAATAATGAATTAATCATACACTTCAGAAATCTGTCTACAAAAGGCGGGAAGTGTGTCTATTTTTGCATATCAATCTTCGATCAGTATCGAAGTCGGAAGAACTTTACACCATATAAAACGACACACCATATTATAGTGTTTGGTTGTCAATTTTACAGGAGAATACTACTTGTATAGCAGGTATGTAACTATATACGTCATATTTGTTACAATGGACTACTGATGTTATTCGTATGAAACCATGTGCATTAAATTTTATTGCATACAACCAGACATAATATCAGATATGCTTCAGTATTCTACTGTCGCTGGTTTGTGTATTACTAAATTCATTTCCTCAATTAAATAAACTACGATACCTGCTCCTTACAAGATACATCCAGGCAAATAGGTAAAAAACTACAGCGAAACGCTAAGCCTACTAACTGACGCCATTCGGAGTATGCCAACTGCAAACGTACAGAAGTAAGGTTAATGAACAGTTCATTGTACAAGATGTGTCGAAAAAAGGTAATCTAACTTTGACATGTTATCCTGCATTTTATATTACGTTTATCCATTTACTTTTTTATACCAATAAAGATCAAGCATTTAGCTGTCGACTGCTACTTTTCTTGTATCGTTGCGATTTGAAAATGCCGCTGGAAATTTCCCACGGTTTTAGTCGCATTTTTGCGTCGAAATTGAGTGGTTAATAAAACATTGCAAACTGAACCCGCAATGCCATACGTTTCCCTAATGGGCAACAAGCATTTGGGCAAATGTTCGAAAACCTAAAGGTGAAAAAATACCATTTCAACCGGACCTCTTTAAATCAGATCGTATTTGGTCATATTTTATCGCACTGAGAGCTAAAACCTAATCTCTATAAATATGAAAAGAGAAAACCTATAATTAACTACCAGTTAAAATATGATCAGCTGATCTTTATGGGCGTTTACAATGGCGAGCGCGCGGCGCGAACCATTGTTAAACGCCCATAAAGATCAGTTGCGAATATTTTAACGTACCTGTAAAATGAATTTATTTGTTTACTTTATTAGTATTCACTGCCCATGGGGACAATCTCACGCTTCATTAGCACTATGCATTTAAGATCTGAATTCGTGTTGATAACTTTCATGCATAAACATCCCTGCTTCTGAATTGGTATTTATAACTTTCATAAACACCTCTCTAACATGACTTACTGATTTTAAATGCGATTTACAAGTGTGCACATGTGACCTAAATACCGCGTCATGATTTGTTTGTAGCCTTATAAATTATTCATGAATTTTACAAGACGTATAATAAACAGTACTAAAACTGTCTGTACCAGTGTGGGTAGTACCAATGTGAAAATGCTGTGCTGAGTGGTTATATTACTACCTTAAAAAATAAGCAGAAACTCGACGTTTCCAACGAAGGCCCTTCGTCAAGACTCGCTACTAACTCTTGACGAAGGGCCTTCGCTCGAAACGTCGAGTTTCTATAATAAACAGTGTCTAGTTTATTATGTATGCGTGCAACCATGCATTACTATATCATTAGTTATTCGCATAATAAATCGTATAATGATTTGCTGTTATTTGTACATCTAAGTATGCTTTTGCAACCGTTTTACTCGTTGATTTTGCCCAACCCTGGCGTTCGAATAGCATATAACAAGTATATGTCGATATATAGCGGTTAACCCTTCAAAATAACACTCTTATGCAGTGTGCATTGGATACACAAAATCAGTCGCCTCAATTTCCCATCACGTGAAAATGGGCAGTGTCACGTGTTCTGTTCTAGCTGTCTCTACGTTGAAGTTGGGGCAGCCACAACAGTTCCAAAAGTCACATGATCCTGTTCTGTTCTGTTCCATTCCATTGGTGTTCCCAAAATCCGGAGTACTGCGAACAGTAAATGGAGCACCCTCCTGAGGTATAAAGTCACTGCACGTGACGCATTATCAGTGATTTAGCAGGCTAAAAAGCTTATGAATTATTAATAAGTGGTTGACTGAACACTCGGCTACTAAAACCAGCATTTCCTGCGCGCATCACGCCTGTGAGGTCATTATGCATAAGGTTTATTTTTAGCTGTTGTGAAGATCTCCGGCCCCGATCTTGATGGAACAACTGCATGCATATTTAATTGTTTTTTATTTCTATCCAGATTTGAATTTCATAAGATGACTTGTGTTGGTTTTCTCATTTTATTTGGTCTGAGTTTTGTGTTGTTTTCATGCGAAGGTCAGACTTTATATTTTTATTTTTACAAATTTTATTTCCCCATGTATTATTTCCTTTATTTATCTAAGTTGAGTGAGTTGTCTTTCCCCATCCCCACTGGATCCCTTCGTGACAATACATGATTGGTGGTCAGACTAGGTTTTTCAGTTAACCGAAAAATTCGGGTTTTTTTCAAAATTGGTGATCATTGTTTCTGAAAGATCATAGGACTGTAAAATAATAAAGATAGTACTTCTGAATGTACATCACCAAGCAAAACTACTTGTTAAACTTAGAAGAAGAATAATTGCTTTGCAAATTTCTTTTATTATTGGTTTCAGTTATTGTTTTTAACTTTTTTTTTCTTCCCGGCCCCCTCCCCCAAAGGAGTTACAGCGTCCGTGAACGACCCATGCAAAAGAAATAACTTGTGTCGTTGCAGTGACTTTTAAACAGTGGAAAAAACATTTTGTTGTGTAGGGCAAGTCTATCCACCAACTAATCAGAGCGTGATATTTGTTTTACCTGGATCAACTGAAAGAGTAAAGTATTCATTTGTGGGCAATCCTGCTCGAGCATCTCTAGTTTGGTATTTCGCAAGAAGAGGTGGATCACAGGTAGAAAAGCTTGCTGTAAAATTTCGCACCAATGAGCTGGTAATAGAGAACAGCAGCCTACCTGGGGTTGCAATAGAAACACCCGCAACGTTGGTTCTAAAGAACATTAATGAACGTTATAATGGAAAATACTGGTTTAGTGTTCTAGTATCTGGTAGAGTTGATGATGCTGAAGTTGAGGTTTTTGTTTTAGGTACGTTTTGTAGAAGTAGCTAAAATTTCAGATATGCTTATAATTCTGGGTTGCATGGACATAGCAAAGGCGTCAAGACAACATTTACGATATTAAATCTTTACCATTATAATTTTAGCTTGTAAAGGGGCCCGGCCCGCTTAAACTGAAATGGATCCCTTATGGTCCTGGTGGCAACTGGCGTGGAAACTACGCCAAGAAAATGTAGACTATAGTATTTGCTGAAATACTTTAACTTTGTCATCCTTGACGACTTCGTTTTTAAGACGTGAACGTTTATATTCGGCATTAATTAAGAATAAGCTTTTCCCTCTAGTCCACTATATGAACTTGTCGTGAAAGGTCTTAGTCACAATTTTCAAACAGCTCGTTCCGTTTAAGGAAGCTCCCTACACTTTCCAATATATTTAAACTACAAGCTATTTCAATCTACAAAAATTTTTTTTGCATAAGCCATTGTTTCCTCTTATATAAAAGAGTAATTTAACCCAAAATCGGTACTCTTCACGTTACCATGACAACATGACGTCACCATCTATATGGCCTATATCAACCAAAAAAGCAGTCTTAGCGGACAAATAACCGCGGTGACCTACTTTTTTACCTTTTTTATTGCAGAAAATACATTGTTATGAAGTTTTGAATCGTTTTTGAAAGTTATTTGAAAATCGCAGGTGTAGTTTTCGAGAAACTGAATTTCAGCCTTTAAGATTGCATTTTAGTTTCTAGAAATTGCATTTGCCTTTAAGATATTGCATTTTAGTTTCTAGCCTCTTTCCTCCACAAGGGGGAAGAGCCTGGGAAAGAGGTTGGGTAGAAAATGCAGGTATACCGGGTATTACGAGGTGAATAAGACACTAA